GGGAATGTGAAGTCTGGAATCGAGAGACTGATGTCAAACGCTTCAGAAGCAAACGTTGCAGCTCAGCCCATTTTTTCCAACTTAAGCCCGCTTCAGCCTCACAAACAAACGGGTCTACTTTAATCCAAACTGACTGAATTTAAAAGATTTCAGCCTTTTTTGAGCTGAATTGGCGTGCCGAACACAGCCGAATGCTATAATTATAAAGGAAGATGAGAACTTCGGTGCCCATTTAAAAAATGGAGTATTGTACTTATCATTCATTTGATTGGTCCAAATAGATATACGTAGTATCATTTTTAATGTAGACTTAAATAATTCAATTGTAACATTTCATGTGGATAAAGGTATGTTATCTTTTGGATATCCATCATAGAATCACCCATAAAAGAAACACAAATTATATATACATCAAATGGACGTCAAGAAGTACGTTAAGAAGTTCGCTTGATATAATATAATCAGTTTCCTTTCAAAACAAAAAACAGCCGACACGAAATGCTCCCATCTTTGGCATTTCCAACCATCTAATTTTTTGGCTGTTTGGGATCAAGATGCCAATTTAAAAAGCTATTTACCAAACATGTTATTTAGCTGGTCAACTGTCAAAACAGTTAAACTTGGTCAAACTAGCTGTTCTAAAAAACGTGTTTGAATGTAAAAGGATATTTAAGGACATTAGTATATGTACTACCTAAATACTTGAGTAATGCCAAGAGTGATAATGTTAAAAATGTAATTACGTAATACTCCGTATTATTTTAAACACATTTCTTGTAAAATATTTTCAATATGTAAAAACAACATTAAATAATTACGTAATGATATTCCCAATATTACAACACTAAAAATGTACACACGTCATATTGTTTTAAAAACAATATCCCTATTTTTGGCATTAGAAATGTAAAAAGAATAAATAAACTAAAATAAAATATTCCAAATGAATAAATCATTGGCACAAGAATTTTTCATAATATATTAATATTAATGTCTATATTAATATGACAGGACTAAATTAAATTCAATATTGACAAAAGTAAAATTATTCACATTAGACTAGCTGTTAGTATTCCAATAAAATTATTTCCACTAACCACTAAAATTAATTACTCCCTCCGTCCCGTTGGAATGTTCCCACTTTCCTTTTTTGGATGTCCCAATGGAAAGTTCTTATTTCCCTAAATGGAAAGTTATCCTACATCAAAACAGTGTCAAACAGTGCAAAACAGTGTCAAACAGTACCAAACAGTGTCCAAACAGTAAAATTTACCCCCTGGTAAGTTTATTTTCTTAATATGTGTGTAGGTCAAACCGGGAACATTCCAACGGGATGGAGGGAGTAATAAATATGCACAGTGGGTTGCAAGTGTCGAGCAGCAAAGGTCAACTCGTTTAAAAATGAATTGGCGGGAAATTGTTAATCAACAAGTAAAGATGTTTTTACTTGGACTATAATTCGTCTCAAACCAGACCAGACTTGGATAGTTATAAAAAAGAAACCATATAAGCTAAGACTAGACCATATGATCGAGCAAATTATGGTTCAAGTAAAAACATTCTAACTGCACAGCAATAAATGAATTGGCCGAAATACATCAACATATGCGAGAAGGGTATGAAAGGCATAGATAGGAACCGCCAAAACTAAATGCTGGACACGGTAGTGTTTTGGTTTTCAGCGAGTTGAGCTTGTATATACAAACTCATTAACTATGGTCAAAGAAGATAAAAATGGCTGATAAGCCATTATTATCCAAAAAGGGACAATAAAATCTCATACTACGTATTCATCATCAGTGCTATTGCGACAATAACTTAATCCCACTTCAAAAGGTATAAATAATAGGGCTGATACAAAATCCCACATATAGAAGTCGTATGGAGCTCCAAAGAAATTGATGACCGTCAAGACATGAAAGCACGTTACTAACCCCAAATGTGTCTCCAAGTAACTCTCCACGCAAAGTGCTAAAACCAAGCAAACGCAGGCCAGGAAAAGCTGAGCAAACAATCTCACTCGGAATTGCAGTGGAGCAATATTCCAAACGATGCCCAAAAAAAAGAGAAAGGGCCCATACAAGAGAAAGCATGTTAAAGGGATAAGAGTTGGTGGTAGTGTGTATAGAAACGTACAAAGATTGGAAAAGGATTTCACTATTTTCGTGTGTCTGTACATGGGTCACGATATTAGCTAGTATACAATTATTCTTTCCTAAATTAAGTACAGAAACGTAATAATACAAAAGGCAACAAATCATGCCTATTAACTTTAGAACATTCACGAACAACTATATACGGAAAGAATATTATATGCTCCAATACCCCCCCTCAAGATGGAGAGTGCAGATTTCGAACGCCCATCTTGGAAAGTAAATAAGAAAACTGATGTTCACCAAGCGCTTTAGTAAAGATGTCCGCAAGTTGGTCAGTAGAGGATTTGTAAGTAGGAAAAATAGTGCCAAGTTGCACATGATCACGTATAAAATGACAATCAATCTCGATATGCTTTGTGCGCTCATGGAACACTGGATTAGACGCAATATGAATAGCAGCCTGATTGTCACAGTAGAGAGGAATTGGTTTAGATAGGCGAACACCTAGAGAAGAAAGAAGACTCTTCAACCAAATAAGTTCACAAGTAAGTGTCGCCATAGACCGATATTCCGCCTCTGCGGAGGAGCGTGAGACGGTGAGTTGCTTCTTGGTTCGCCAAGAAATGGGCGAGTAGCCTAGAGTGACAAAGTACCCAGTAACAGAACGACGAGTAATAGGACAACTAGCCCAGTCAGAATCACAGTACCCTGACAGTTGAAGTGGGGAGTCACTTCGCAGTAGAATGCCTTGACCAGGATTACCTTTGAGGTAACGAAGTACACGTACAGTGGCCTCCCAATGAGCTACACGGGGCTGCTGCATAAACTGGGATAAGACATGCACTGAGTAGCATATATCAGGACGAGTGAGAGTGAGATAAATAAGTTTCCCTACAATACGCCGATACCGATCCGGGTCAGAATAAAGAGTCCCATCCGCGAGTGATAAAGAATGATTTTGCACCATGGGAAAGGAGATTGGCCATGCACCCAGAAGACCAGTTTCGGTAAGCAAATCAAGCACATATTTTCATTGACACAAATAAATCCCGGAACTATTTCGGGCGACCTCGATACCCAAGAAATATTTCATTTTGCCAAGATCTTTGACGGGAAAAATAGTGGCCAAGTATTGTTTGAATTTAGTGATCAGGCTAATGTTATTACCGGTAATAAGCAGGTCATCAACATATACTAGCACACATAGAATATCAGTATCGGTACGAAAAGTGAACAAGGAATAATCAGCATGAGATTGATGAAATCTATAGGCCTTAAGGGTGCTCGCAAGTTTGGAAAACCAACAACGGGGTGCCTGTCGAAGGCCATAGAGAGAGCGTAGAAGACGACAGACGTGGCCCGATGGTGTAGTGTATCCAGGCGGTGGGTACATAAATACTTCTTCCTGAAGGTCACCATGCAAAAATGCATTATCAACATCCATTTGATGTAGAGCCCAATGGTGTGCCGCCGCGACAGCAAGTATAGTACGCACAGTTACCATCTTAGCAACCGGAGCGAAAGTATCATGATAATAAAGGCCCTCAATTTGCCGATTACCGCACACCACAAGACGCGCTTTGTATCGTTCAATGGACCCGTCACTATTATATTTAATCTTATATACCCATTTATAATGAATGGGCTTTTTGCCGGGAGGTAGGGGCTGAATAGACCAAGTACCATTCTTTTCCAAAGCATTGATCTCTTTTGTCATTGCGGCTCTCCAGCGGGGATCAAGTACTGCTTCGCGGTATGTAGCCGGCTCAATATTACTAGAAAGAGATGCGAGAAAAGCCCTGTGCTGCACTGAAAACCGATCATAAGTCACATAATAATAAAGGGGATAAGGCTTACCTGAAGGTACCGGAGAAGCAGATAGTACGGGGGGAGGGGTACACGTTTTCACAGTGTTGAGCTGGAGATAATCATTATGCCATCGAGGGGCCCGGCGTGGTCTGTCACTTCGCCGTAGTGCAGGGGAAGAGGGATCAGTGGATGAAAGCACGTGACCAGATACATCTTCTTGTGGCGTAGGTGGACTGTCAATGCTAACTTCCTTGGATGTGGGTCCAAGAGTAGAGTCAACAATGTGATCTGTAGCTTCAGTGCATGGAAAATGTGTTGTATTGCTGTCACCAATTACTTCCTCATCAAATTGAGACCTCTGAAAATGTTCTGCATGAGTGTCAACACGTGGCATGTTGATGTCTAGTTGAGCTTTGAATGGAAATTCTGTTTCCACAAAATATACATCACGCGAAACTACATATTTTCCCGTTTCCATATTAAATAATCTCCAGCCCTTTTGAGAATAGGCATATCCCAAGAAAACACATTTTTGCCCTCGTGGAGCAAATTTGTCTCACGGATGAGTATGCATGTAGCATAGACACCCAAAGACCCGCAAGTGATGATACAGTGGTTCCTTGTTATGTAATAATTCATAAGGTGTTTTGTTATTATTCAATGGAGACGGAATGCGATTAATTAAGTATCTCGCGGTCATGACGCAATCCCCCCAAAATTGTATCGGAAGATTGGCATGAAAGCGTAGCGCCCTCGCTACTTCCAAAATGTGACGATGCTTCCGTTCCACATGTCTGTTCTGTTGTGGTGTACCAACACGGGAGGTTTGAAATATGATGCCTTGTTCAAGAAAATAGGGTCGTAAACACATGAATTCTGTCCCATTGTCACTACGTACCACTTTAACATTTGTACTAAACTGTCGATTCACCATTGAGAAAAATATCTTAAGTATATTTCTCACTTCACTTTTCTCCTTCATTAAATGTACCCATACCCCACGAGAGAAATCATCCACAATTGTCAGAAAATATCGTGATCCACAAAAAGAAGAGGTTTTATAAGGTCCCCAAATATCACAATGTATTAATTCAAACGGATTAGAAGCACGTGCATTATTATGTAGAAAAATATCCCTTGTCTTTTTGGCACGAACACAAGCATCACAATAACTAGAAATAGTAGCAGAATTATTGAAATGAAATAAAGACTTTAACACTCTATGAGAAGGATGACCCAAACGTGAGTGCCAAAGCTCTTGAGTCTCCTTGATAGTAACCCGATGAGCAGACTCTGTCTTTATTCCGTGAAAGTAGTACACCCCCCCCCCCCCCACGTAGCTTACCCACTCCAATCGGCATCTTCGAAGGTAGGACCTGTATCACACAAATCTTTTTAGTGAAATATACATCGCAATTCATTTAAGCAACTAACCGAGAGATTGAAATAAGGTTACAAGTGAGCCCCGGAACAAAGAGGACGTTCCGTAATTCAAGAGCCGAGCTTAACCGTACACATCCCATGCTATGTGCATGTGACGTGGTCCCATTAGGCAGCAATATGGGAAGCAAACTGATCGGTCGTTTTTTGATTAGTACATCAATATTTCCTGTCATGTGTAAAGAAGCTCCCGAGTCTAAAATCCAATCAGTTTGACTAACCATACCTGAAAGTTTTTCATTGGAACTAGCTATCTTACTGCTATTAATTAACTTGAGAAAAGAGTTCCATTGTTCATCAGTAATAACACGTCCAGGAGCATTCTCCTTCTCCACTCCAACCTTGATGCCACCATCTTCCAGCTCCGTCAACTGTACTGCATGAGCAAGAGCCATCGGTTTTCCGCGTCCAGGATTCTTTTTCTCACGCCCTTTCCCCCGGCCACGTCTAGGATTATCAAACCACCAGTCCGGGTAAATCCCAGTTTTTTTGAAACAATTGTTCACAGAATGACCTTCCTTTTTACAAAAAGTGCAAATCATGGGAGCATCGGAAGGACTGCCTCGAGAACTACTGCGTGCTGCAAATGCCATTCCCTCCGGGGGTTGTTGAGCATCGGTTTGTACCTGAGAACTGCTGCGTGCGGCAAACACCGGTGCCTCTGGTGGCTGCTCCCTTCCTTTGATCATATTGTGATGACGCTCTTCCTGAACGATCATGTGGTATACTTTGGAGAGGACGGGCAGCTCGTCTAACCCTAGTATATTCGAACGCAACGTGCCAAAGGTATGGCTATCAAGTCCCAACAAAAAATCGTGCGTCTTTTCATTTTCAATGTGTTTAAAGAATTTTTTTTTTCCAAATCACACTTACATCCTCCACACGTACAGGTTGGCACGAAGCAGTAACCAACATACTCATCCCACAATTGTTTCAATCTGCCAAAGTACAGTGTCACAGGTTCCCCACCTTGTCTACAAGCTCGTATGCTCTCCTTGAGTTCATGCACCTTCATGGCGTCGCCGACATCGAACCGCAGTTTGAGGTCTTCCCACAGATCGATGGCATCGTCCATATATGTCACATTTGTTCGGAGCGCTGGATCAATTGCAGTCATAATCCAGCCAACCATCATGGAGTTTACAATCATCCAATCTTCGAGGTCGTCATCACCGGAATCCGGCCGTTTGATCGTTCCGTCGAGAAATCCAATCTTCTGCTTAGCGCGGAAAGCATTCTTCATCGCCGTCACCCATTCTCGGAAATTTGATTCTCCTCGGAGGGTGATTCCTGAGATATGCATGCCTGGGTAATCAGAACTGTGTAAATAATAAGGAGACGCCGGATCATTCACTTTCCGTCGCACCGGCTCACTTTTCCCGTTCATGCGTCCGTCGTTGTTCTCCAGTTGTCCATCGTTGGCCATGAGTGATTAGCTCTTCTGTCGAGAGTATACTGGAATCGAAAAAGGCAAAGTTCAGAGGTCTGTGACACTCTGCTCTGATACCATATAGAAACGTACAAAGATTGGAAAAGGATTTCCCTATTTTCGTGTGTCTGTACATGGGTCACGATACTAGCTAATATACAATTATTCTTTCCTAAATTAAGTACAGAAACGTAATAATACAAAAGGCAACAAATCATGCCTATTAACTTTAGAACATTCACGAACAACTATATACGGAAAGAATATTATATGCTCCAATAGTGTGAAACGACTTAGCTGGAGGATAAACCAATCTTTAGACTTGAATGAACGACCCACTGGTGCTATATTATAGCCAAACACATAACTCACGGACAAACCCGCCAAGACCAGCCAAGCTATATATTCGAGTTTTGCGAAGTTTCGGTGGATCACATGGCTGCATTGTCAAAACAAAATATGTTTATTTTCATCAAGTGCAGTTTTTCCATTTAGAAAGACAACAATATATATAGAGGAAACCATCACACAAGAAACGCACACATAAAAACTGTTGTAAATCTGTTTAAGATTATAACTAAACTAAAATATAGAGATATAAAAGTAACCCATATGGAATCAATTGTGCAATACGTTTGTGTGCAAAAGGGAAAAAGATGTTTTAATACTACTTCATATATACGGAGTATGCAATGAAAGAAACAACAACTCTAGTTTATTAATGACCACAAATGCAAATATAAATAGGAGTGCATAGGCACTTAACTAACCTCCCAAGCCACTACTCCACTTCTTAACATGAAATTGTCACTACTCCAGTAATGGCAGTAATTACTCATATTTTGGGTATAAAACCTTAATGGTCCTATTTGGAAATTTCAAACTTATTTATTCATATTTCGGGAATTTTCCTAATTAGAATTATAATCAACCATTACCTAAATTTAAAAAGAAAAAACAAAAAGTATATATGTGAAAGTAAAATTCCAAGGAGGAGGAAAGAGTTAGAGACTAGAGTAATTATTAGAAGTCCAACAAAAAAATGTTTTAGCACACTAATTACGATTTGATAGAATTGGAGTTATTTTTACTTTTCATAGAGATAAGAATTGGGGGCATTCACATTTTTACATTGGAGGCACTTGCAAAATTTATAATAAAATATGACTATTATGCTTGATTATCTACAATTTATTGGGGGCATGTGCCCCCATTGGACGAAGCCTACGTCCGCCCCTGAGTTACTGTTTCTGTTTTATTTATTTATTTATCAAACGGTCCCTAGGAATCAATGGTCTGGTTAGCGCTTGCTCATAATACGTAGTAGTCCGTAATATTTAAGGCCTTTGTGTGCCCTAGTTTTTTTTTTGCAGCAATTGTGCACCCTAGTTTTAAATATTCAAATTTCACTAATTCTAACTCTAAAAATGTTAATTCAAATATCTCTGATGTTTCAAAATAGTGTAAAGTTTAATCTCCCATTGAGAACAGTATCAGGAAAGTTTCACAGTTTGATAATGTTTGCAATGATAAAGCTTCGTAACTAATAACAATGTTATATTAAAAAAAATAACAATCTTTCAGAAACACTCGATCCACCTATAAATCATGTTCAATTTTACTGTCTTGTTTCAGAAAACATTAAAAACGAGTGAAACAAAATACATGTACTTTTTACTGACTCAAAGTTAAAGACCTAGAGATGACAATTTCGGCCGACCCGTTGGATATACGCACCAAACCGATTTGGTCAAACTGGGGAGAACCGGTTTGACTGGGGAATGAGTACGGGGCAGGGAATACCCGAATTTTTAAAATGGTTAATGGTGCGGTTATGGTTCTATACTAATTCGTCCCGTTATCCGCCCCGAAACCGCCCCGTTCACTAATGGTGCGGGTACCCGCACCGTTACCCAATCTGTAACATTATTAATGAACTATAACTTTTTATATATTCGAATAATAAGTATATGTGCTAAATTGTGTATACTAAATAGTACTCCGTATATATAATATAAATAATGCTAAAAAGTATACTACTTTTTAAGGCCTAAAACAAAATATAGACCTAAACCTGTTTTTGGAATTTAGATTCCGGATGATTACTACTTTTTATTATGTTACAAGAGATATTAGGTGCATGTCATACTAATGAATTTAGGTCAGTCTAGTTGATTGCTTAAATATTTACTTTTGTATGTTTTAGGGTGCTTTGAATATATAAATAACAAGTAGGATTAGAGATTGGTTACTCCCTCCGTCCCCTTTTAAATGGGACGGGAGATGGTGGCACGGGTTTTAAGAAAAGTGAGTTTGTGTGGTTGATATTAATTGATAAAGTAAGAATAAAGTAAGAATGATTTTGAGCCACACAAAGTTTACCAAATAAGGTATGAGGCAATTAAATAGGGACATCCCAATATGGTAAAATGGGACATTTAAAAGGGGACGGAGGGAGTATTTGTTTTCCAAAAAAAATGGTTATTTGGTATCATTTGGGGAAACGGTTACCCGTGGATAAACCGATTCCCCGTTGGGGCGGGTACGGTTCAAATAAAAATTACCCGAACGGGTAATGGGGCGGTTTTGGGGCAAACATTTATCCAACGGGGCGGTTTCGGTTTTATGTGTACCCGTCCCCGATCCGCCCCGTTGCCATCAAAGTTGATACAAACTAGGGTGGGCGCGGTCCAGGTCGGTCCGGGTAATTGATAGATTTTTAAGAACCGTCGGTTCCACTTAACGGGTAGTTTCGGTCCGATCGTACCAAGTTTTGAAATAGGAACCAGACCTAATCCACCCCGTTTGAAATGGGCCAGTTCGGTCCGAGTTCTCGGTTCTTTGGGTAAAAAAAAGTACGACTATGCTAGCAAAATATCTAGTTAAGTTGTAAAGTTCTCAGACTAGTTAAGTACCAATTTAACAACAATATAGTAAAAATTCAAATTATTAACATAAATCAACAATTAAAATTAGTTAACAAAACATCTAACCAAAAATCTATAAATCAAAAACTCACAACCACATAACTTAAATAACACCAAATTTTAAAATGTACCGGAGTATAAATTTAGACATCATCATCCATAAACAAAAAAAAGATAACACTATAAAGTGGTAAGAAGAAACTCAGGCCGAGCCTGAGCCGAACCCGTTTTTGTGCAGGAGTACGTTTAACATAGAATACTACCTCCATCCCGGACCAATGTTCATGTGCTCTATATATTCAATTTTTGTCAAATTTGAGTTCTTTTCCACTTAAATAAAGCTTTAACGTAATTTTTGAGTGTAAGTTTTATTTCCAAAATAATACAGAGCATTTTAATATTGATAGAGATTAATTGACTAATTGATTTTAGAGAAAGTTCCCGAAATAGGACTAAAACAGTCTCAAAATTTTAAAATAGGACTCATGTTTTTTATTCCCAAAATAGGAGTAATTACAACCAAGTTTGGAAAATAATGTTATGTTTCAAGTCTGGTACTGCCAAAACATGGCAGTAATTAGACATATTTTGGAAAAACATGATAGTCCTATTTTGAAATTTTCAAACTTTTTAGTATTATTTCGGATAATAATCAGTCAAACATGGTAAACCAAAACGGATTCTTTCACCTAAAACGGAGGAAGTAGTAAGGATGTTTTTACTTGGGTTGTAATTTGCTGGTCTGGTCTGATTTCTTTGTATTTTTATTACTTTCCATGGTTGGTCTGATTTGATCTGGCCTGATCTGGGACAATTTAATTAAAGGGGGGTTTTGGGTTGAATGATTTAATTAAATTAAACACGAAGATGAACGAGTTATATGTGATTTAATTCAAAGATAAAAAGGACTTGGCATTGCTACTTTCCACTTGTTGATATATTTTAGTCGATCATTGTTATTTCCATAACTTATCCCCTCTCGAATACTCAATCGTGGAGTATATCCAGTTCATCGAGGGTAGTTATTAACAACGACCGTTCATTAATAACCCTTACTATTAATCGAATATAGAACAACGCCGTATACCGACTTAATAGTAGCATTTAATCTCTTTAACTTCTTGATGAAATCAATTGAGATTGATAACCTCAACGCAACGGTTTCGGTTTAACCAACAAAATTAATCCCTCTTAAGTTTATTAACCACGACCGTGCATTAATAAACCGAAGTTACTTGTGAAGCCATCAACGATTAACCATCGGTTCGTTGATCGTTTCTAGTAGTAATTAATGTCGAGATGTTAACTAATTGTCATCTTAGCAACACTCCCCAACATTAATATAGAGATAGATTAAGGGAAGAATTAATATTCAAGGAAGAAGATTAAATATGAATAATCCTACTATAACTAATGTCAAGATGTTATCTAATTGTCATCTTAGCAACACTCCCCAACATTAATATATAGATAGATTAAGAGAATAATTAATATTCAAGGGAAGAAGATAAGAAAATAACTCACAACTTTAATAATCAACAAGCTTCAAGAGCAACACCAAGAAATGGAAGTTTAGCTCCTCATTTGGAGACTAAACATGCTATAAAAATATAAAAGAAATACTATTCTAAACTAAGCTTAAGAGTATGGAAGAAGGGATTGTTTTTTGTGAAGGAAAAGGGGTGTATTTATAGGTGTTTTTCAACACCCTGGGCCGGGTACCCGACCGGGTTAGGTGCTTACCCGACCGGGTGCATGTCAAAATCAAATATCCTACACGTTCTGGCGATCTTCGGCACGTTCTGGTGTTTCGGGTCAAGTCGGACCCGACCGGGTGAAATACCTCACCCGACCGGGTGATGTAATTTCCTGAGTACCTGAATCTGTTAAATCAGACCCGACCGGGTGAAATACCTGACCCGGTCGGGTCTGTGCACCTGGATATTTTTCTTCTTCTTTTCACTTCTTTTCCTTGCCAATAACTCTACCACTACTTTACAACTTAAAAAATGATTAAAATCAATTACAAACAAATGAAGATGATTGCTTAAAAACTAACTAAGAACGGTAAACTAACTAACAGCTGGTTGTATCAGCGATTTGGTGATAGTTGGTTGTATTAATTGATTTAATTGGCTGATTATGTTAGATTATCATCAATAAACGTTTGGGCCTTGTTTGGCAATCCACTGTTAGCTGGTAATGACAGCTGATTAACAATATCTGGTTGTGTTAGCTGTTTTAGTTGGATGATTATGTTAGCTTGTTGTCTGCAAATGTTTGATAAATTAACTGTTTAAAATAGTTGTTTGCTTTGAAAAGACATATAAGGACATTAGTATTTAATCTAATTTCTATTTTAGCATTTCAAAAATTATACGTTGTAATTTCTATGGCAAAGAAATTATATATAAAAAAGGATAGAGGTAAAAAACAAAAACAAAAGGATAAAGGTGAAAATTTAAAATATGATCTAGAGATAATTTTAATTATCACCCATTTCAAGTTTTGTGAAAATATGGCCTACACATTTACTTATTTTAGTTATTGTAAAATGAAAAGATAAGCTAAAAAAAGTAGTAGTGTAAGAATATAATATATGGGGAAAATCGCATATATGGTCTCTCAGTTTTCCACAAAATTAAAATCTCAGACCTGTATTTGTGAGGTTGTAAATGTCACCCCTCAATTGTCCAAAATGTTGTAAATATGGTCCTTATGAGGGGTGAAATATAAAATGTGGGCAAGAGTGCATTTCACCACTCAAAGGACCACATATAAAACAATTTGGACAATTGAGGGGTGACATTTACAATCTCATAAATACAGGTCTAAGACTTTAATTTTGTGGATAACTGAGAGATCATATATGTGATTTTCCCTCATATATGATATTATGCTAAGTCTACATGCAGTATTACTGTGACCTAATGCATTAGAAACTTGTACGATACTACATACTTGAATTGGTATATTAAGAGCATTTAGTAAATATTAATACAAAGGAGATGATAGAAACAGCCGACACAGAACGCTTCCATCTTTGGCATTTCCAACCACCTAATTTTTTGGCTATTTGGGATGAAGAACCAATTTAAAAAGCTATTTACCAAACATGGTGTACTGGTCAACTGATCAAAACCGTTAAACTTTGTCAAACTAGGTGTTCTAAGGATGTTATCTTTTGGACTGAAATTTGCTGGTCTGGTCTGATCTGGTTTGGTCTGATCTGGTCTGGTTTGATCTGGACTGGTAAACGTCTGGTCTCTGTGTATTTTATAACTAAGGAAGTTTGGTCAGATCTGGTCTGGTCTGATCTGGACATTAGTAATTTAGTACTCCCTTCGTCCTAAATTATAAGATACTTATCGGTTTATGATGTTTGACCGACGATAAAGCAAACAGATCCCTATCTGCACCAAATCAAGTGTGCATAAACTAATTAAAGATCCTCCAACAATCTGTTCCTCACTCATAATTGATACATCAAGGAGAATAATGTCACTTGCAGTCAATACGGAGTATAAATCAAGGAGAAATTAATAACTCATACGGAGTACGTAGTAGAATAAAGTCCCCCCATATTACCATCTGCAACCAATAAGCATAGCAAACAAAAGTCCAGAACCCCCATAAAGTACTCCTACGACCATAAATATTCTCGTGACAATATAATGACATATTCATCATCAGTGCTATTGCGACAGTAACTTAATCCCACTTCAAAAAGTATAAATAATAGGGCCGATACGAAATCCCACATATAGAAGTCATCTGGAGCCCCGAAGAAATTGATGACCGTCAAGACATGAAAGCACGTTGCTAACCCCAAATGTGTCTCCAAGTAACTCTCCACGCAAAGTGCTAAAACCAAGCAAACGCAGGCCAGGAAAAGCTGAGCAAACAATCTCACTCGGAATTGCAGTGGAGCAATATTCCCACCGATACCCAAAAGTCCGAGACAGATCGGATACAGGAGAATACACAGTAGAGGGATAGCACCTGGTGGTAGTATGAAACGACTTAGCTGGAGGATAAACCAATCTTTAGACTTGAATGAGCCCTCTGGTTCTATATAATAGGCAAACACATAAGTCACGGACAAACACGCCAAGAGCAGCCAAGCTATTCGAGTTTTGCGAAGTTTGGGTGGATCACATGGCTGCATTGTCATAGCAAAATATGTTTATTTTCATCAAGTGCAATCTTCCCATTTAGAAAGACATCATCAATATATATAAAGGAGGAAATAATCACACAAGAATCACGCACATAAAAACATTATTTCCTAGAGTTTCCACGCAGCATATACAAAAACATCACAATGTTCAGAAAAAACTAGATATGTGAATCAGGTGACATTGGGTAACTAAGGAGCTGAGGGTATAGTATCTCACTTTTCGCTCATACTTTGTCCGGAACAAGGGCCTGGGCGTTGGTAGCATTCTTCCGCTTCGTTTTCTCCAAAACAAATCGCAGGAAAAGGAGGAGCCGAAGATATAAGGGACTCCCGTTTAGCAGACGACGGCGAGAGCCACGCTTCTTCAAGTAAATAATACTCTAATCGGATAGTGCTGGCCGGGCCGCATTAGCTAATGCTTATTATACATGCTAATAGAAAAAGTAAGCCCTCCTCAAAGTAGCCGCTTTGTGCACTTGCACTTGGGCTGGCCCGGTCCATCTGTCACATGTTCAATTTTTAATTAGAGGTATATTTTATTTTTTAATGTATTAAAAATTTATTTATTTTAGAAATATTGTTTGATTCTTCTCATTTTACATTTTAACAATCTAATTTTTTCCTAATAAAAATGAAATATATTATAAACAAAAATTGTGTGTTCGCAAACGTAAACATAAAAATATATTCTAGGTATCTCATTCTCTCATTTTACACGTCAAGAAACTATCATTATAATTCGGGACGAAATTTCGTAAATAGTACATAGCATGAACTAATATAAGTTCTAACTATATTTCTTTACGTTTATAGCTTTATAAAATTATTGGTTTTTTATACGAGCTTCGTGATATTTTATTTTAATTTGAAATTTTTGTTAGTATTTGTAACATTAATATTCAAATTTAGAGGATTTCACATGTATAGTACGTAGTTGGTGAAATTAAACTCCACACTTTAGGGAACAATTGTTTTAATTTCTAAAGAAGATAAGATCGAGCATCTTCCATCAGCTCAATGCCTGAACTACCAAAAAGGTTCCAATGCATAACATTTCAGTTTTCACCGATGAGTTTTGCTTCGGATTTTATTATTACGTTTGTTAAATTTCAAATGCCATTACGTAATAAAAGTAATCCTAGTAGTATACCTTTGCTTACAGGGAAATTACCCTAATTAAATAGGACTAAAAACGTGTACAAATTCCAAAATGGAATTTGGAATTTCCAAAGTAACTCTAATTACTTCCAAAGTAACTCTAATTACTGTCATGTTGTGGCACTACCAGACTTTAAACATGGTAGTATTTTCGAAACTTTGCAGTACTAACTCCTATTTTGGAAATAAAAACATTATAGTTGTTAGTAATATGTGGATGTCCATTACTCTCCCAGGCCCATGCCTAGTTAGCTTTTTCCCGTTTAAAACCCGTTTTAAACCCGTACCGTATTTTTGATAAAAAAAAAAAGCGTTTTAAACGAAAAAAAGGTCAGTGCGTTTTAAACGGAAAAATACGGCAGCCCAACGAATCACTCTACATAATTGCACTACTTTAGGAACCTCATTTTCCCGCTCATTGCCTAGGCCTTTCCTCCACTCCATTCCGCCTAATTCATTTAGGCCTAATTAGGTCATTTAAATTTCCGCCTAATTAATTTCCGCCTAATTTGTATCCGACATTTCAGTCCAGCCTTATGCCCGTCCAGCCTCATCTTCGAACATTTCACCTCTCTCCCTCAAATCGTCCCAGCTGGGTTGTCTCCGAAAAAATAAAAGTTAGGGCTCGGAGTACGTTATTTTGGCTTCTCTTGGGAAGATCGGTGCCGCCACGCCCTTGCAATCAGATCCAACGGCATGTTCACTGTCGGCCTGTCCCCTGCAATGAGATCCATCGGCGTGTTCACCAATCACCATCGGCGTGTTCACCATCGGCGATATCAGCCTGTGCATGAAGGAAGGGGAGAATCCTTCCTGCGTGGAGCTCTTTGAAAGAGCATATTTGCGAAGAGAAGGTACCAGATTATGTCAAGAGAAACAAAAATGGATATTTACACATGTATACTTTGCTTAAAAGTCGACATTTTAGAAATCATCTGCGTGTTCACCATCGTCGATACCCCCTGCAATCTCCTAAGAAGCGGCCCAAATTGCAGACTAATCGGCATGTTCACTGTCGAATATCTCCTTCGTTACTCAGGGATGAGGATAAGGTACTGTTTGTATTTTTTAATTAATTTTATTTTATTAATTCTATATTACCAAATTCATTATTCTATTAGATAATGAATCATATTTTAATCTTGAACATTTGATACTCGATATTTTAATTCTTAGGAATACAAACTTTTGACATACTTCGTATAATAAGAGGCATAAAAGGGTCTAATCTGAATGTTTTTTAATATAATGGGCAATGATAAAGGGTCTATATGCAGTTTGGTGATCGGAGTAGAGTTTAAGATTGTAATAGAATAACCCTCTTTGTTTTTTCAACATATGGATTGGATAGTAAGAAAAGAAAGGAAACAATCTGCGTAGCCGTATATCACTTGCTAATGACAAATGAGATGAACCACAAGTGGGATAGAATGAGCAAAATTTGAAATAGTGAAATAGATATGTGTTTATATCTGAAAAACTGATTTTGAGGCAAGATTTGGTATTGATGGGCTGGGCTGATCATAGCTAGGTATAGAACTTTTTAATCGTAAAACCTGTAACTTTTGGTTTTGTAAAATTTCAAATTTGATTTATTTGTATTAGCCTTTTTAAACTGCATGTTTGTTTTAGTCTCTTTTACATTATTTAAGTACAAAGCCATTTGATTGGCTAATTGTTTAACAGAGACTAAATTCAAGGTTTGTTTTAATAGTCAGTAAATTAAGATTTTTTTAAATATGATTTTTTTGTCTTTGGCATTAAAACATTTGATGTAAGTGAGGTTAAGCCCACCGGCAAATTGCAAAAGTACAATCTCACACATATCATTGGGCTACTTCTCACATTCTCTTTATACAAAAGTCTTAATGCCGTTTCATTTTACACACGACCATTTAACAATCTTTGAGTTTTTGAGATATTTTTATTTTCATGGTTTTGTACAGCACCTAAAGAGTATATGCGAGAGATAATTATGGCTAAGTTCTGTTCTCAAAGATCGATCATGCATACGTTCGCTGAGATGAACCGGTAAAGACTTTCAAAAGTAGTAAGAAAAGAAAGGAAACAATCTGTGTAGCCGTATATCATTTGCTAATGACAAATGAGAAGAACCAAAAGTGGGATAGGATGAGCAAAATTTGAAATAGTGAAATAGATACTACGTATGTGTTTATATCTCAAAATCTGATTTTGAGGCAACATTTGGTATTGATGGGTTGCTCATAGGTATAGAACTTTTTAATCGTAAAACCTGTAACTTTTGGTTCTGTAAAATTTCAAATTTGATTTATTTGTATTAGCCTTCTTAAACTGCATGTTTGTTTTAGTCTCTTTTACATTATCTAAGTACAAGGCCTTTTGATTGGCTAATTGTTTAACATAGACTAAAATCAAGGTTTGTTTTAGTAGTCAGTAAATTAAGATTTTTTTAATAGTTTTTTTTCTTTTAATTTGTCATTAAAACAATTGATGTACCTGATATATATTTCACATACAGTTTTGAACAGATTATATAGAACTGTAATGGGGGTTTGGTACTTTGTTCTCCATTTAGATCAGCTAATTTTTCATCTAGCATGAAAACAACTATTTCATTTATAGTTAGTTCCATATTAGCATAGTAATTCTTAAAAACAAGAGGTATTTAAAGTGTAAAACCGCACACCCCGAAAAAAAAAACTCACTTCAAATATTTGAAAGTGGATAAAATCTTTAGCTTATGGGATATGAAATTTTTGTTAACAGATTAATTATTCTTATTATTATTATAATTATTACTCGGTATTATTTATTTCCACCGGATGTGAGAAATCTTGACTACAAATATACGAAGTATATAAAGATACACTCAAAGAAAAAGCTTACATATTAATTAGCCTGGCTTGTCCTTGAAATTAAACCCTACTGATGAAAACGGTTAGCAACACAAGAGGGGGGGTGAATTGTGTGTGTGTGGAACCGTGACAGTTTTTCGCCGAGTTCTAGTGTGGGATAAAGGGAATTGCGAAATAGTAAAGTGCACAAGAATTTAACGAGGAAAAATCCCTTGGCTCAAAGGGATTAAAAAACCTCGACCTCTCTCGGAGGAATTTTAAACAACTTCACTAAACAAGTCTTTGAAAGAGTTACAAGAGTGATTCTCCTAATCTACCCTTGAGCCTCCCCAACTCTATCCTCTCTAGGAAGAGTTATGCATCTCTACCTTGCGGGTAGAGAGCCTCTCAGCTTTATCACAAAGCTCTCACACACACTTAACCCGAGGCAGCTACTCTAGCCAATTAAGCCTCAATAATCCAAGTACAATATGAAAGGGAAAAGAGAAACTCTATCTAGAACTCCGAGCGGGCAGTTTCAGGCGCCAAGGACTTGATCCTTTTCTTGAATGATTCTTCTAAGTATTTTTCTCGGTTCAGCACACTTTATTTGTCTTTGGCTGCTTCGTTTATATAGGCTGTCTTGGCAGACCGTTTTAGCACCCTTCCTTGAATAGTTGATCTTCTAATTTTGGGACTTGCCTTGATATTTTGAATTGCTTTCCTTTCATAATATTTCCCATATCCGAGCTCAATATATAAGGCAGTCAAATTAAAATATCCAACATTTAATATTCATATATTCAAGGTAGCAACATAGTCACAAATTGCCCATTCAAATCACGTGTAAGTATTTTGAATTAATTATCAAAGAGAGCAAGCTTTGGTCAACTTTCAAAAAGGTAGGAAATCATTCCATATAAGAAGGGATGCAACGGCCAGAACATAGATTTCTAACAAGTCATGCATTAAAATATATTCTTGCCTTATTATAATAATCTTGACTAAGTAAGTGGTCTTTTTGAATTGGGCTCACATAAAGAAAGTATATTAGCTAGTAACCAAATAAATCATGCACCTAAATACGAAAGATAATTAAGTAGGTGCAAATATATTAATTCAAGCCAACTATCTTTATATTACAAGCAAGTCAAGATTACTTTCCATAAAGTAAAAGGCACAATTACTTTTTATAAAGTTAAAAGCACAATTACTTAAGTGGGTGTCAATTTGATCATGCATGAAAACCTACATTACGTACACACATATTAATCCAATTAAATCACAAATTATATCACGTAAGCACATGAACTAGTTTTGTCCTTTGTCGCTTAAAGAACTGTGAGCGGTTCTGTCCCTTGTTCCACCTGCATGGTTAGTCATCAACAAAACCACATACTCAACACCTACGATACATGTCTGATGTCT